TTTTTTTATGGTTATACCTATTTTAATAGGTGGTTTTGGTAATTTTATAGTTCCTATGATGTTGAAGTCACCTGACATGAGTTTTCCTCGTTTGAATAATTTAAGGCTTTGATTGTTGGTTTCTTCTTTGTTTTTGATAATGGTTAGGATGTTTGTTGATAGTGGGTCTGGTACAAGTTGGACTTTGTATCCTACTTTGAGGACGATTGGGCATACTGGTGGGGCTGTAGATTTAGTTTGTTTTGGGTTGCATGTGGCTGGGGTGAGTTCAATTTTGGCTTCTATTAATTTTGTTGTGACTATTTTTAATTTGCGTTCTAGATGTGAGAATTTGGAGTATATGGGTTTATTTGTTTGGTGTATTGGTGTAACTTCTTTTTTGTTGCTGGTTTCTTTACCTGTGTTGGCTGGGGCTTTAACTATAATTATTTTTGATCGTAATTTTAATACTTCTTTTTTTAATCCTAGAGGTGGGGGAAGGGTTATTATGTATCAACATTTATTTTGATTTTTTGGTCATCCTGAGGTTTATATTCTTATTTTGCCTGCTTTTGGGATTGTTAGTCATAGAATTTTGTGTTTAACTGGTAAAAAGGAGGTGTTTGGTCATTTGGGTATGATTTATGCTATTATTTCTATTGGTTTAATTGGTAGGGTAGTATGGGGTCATCATATGTTTACTATTGGTTTTGATATAAGAACACGTTTGTATTTTATGGTTGCTACCATAATTATTGCTGTGCCAACTGGGGTAAAGGTTTTTAGTTGGTTGTTGACTTTGATAGGGGGACGTTTAGTTGTGCAGCCTTTATTGTTTTGGGTTTTGGGGTTTATTTTTATGTTTACTACGGGGGGTTTAACGGGTATTATGTTGGCTAATCCCATTTTAGATAATGTGGTTCATGATAGTTATTTTGTTGTGGCCCATTTTCATTATGTTTTAAGTATGGGGGCTGTTTTTGGAATTTTGACTGGGGTTAATTTATGGTGGGGAGTAATAACTGGTTGTGTTTTATCGAAGGTTAAGATGATGGCAGCTTTTATTTTTATATTTATTGGGGTTAATTTGACTTTTTTTCCTATACATTTAAGTGGGTTAAAGGGTATACCTCGTAAGATTGTGGATTATCCTGATTATTACTTGGTTTTTAATAATATTTCTAGTTTTGGGTCTTTTATGAGAATTTTTAGGATGTTTTTTTTT